GTGTTTTAGCCGATTCTTGAAGATGGCTAAGGATTGAGTTGGGCAGGTCATTCCACCAGGAGGGAACAGTTAATTTAAAAGACTGTGAAAGTGATTTTGTGCCTCTTTGAGATGGGTAAAGGGGTGCAGAGCCAGTGGTGGTTTTGTAACTCTGGTGTAATTTGAACGGGAGCGGGCGGTCTAACAATATCCTGTTCCCGGCGTCCATTTAGAACAGCATATCTGCGCTTTATTCTTATTGACCACCGGTAGGGTACATCTTGCGCTCAATTGTTATTTTCTCTGACACTTTTTTTCCTACTGTGTTGCATAAAATATTAAACTAATTTTGTGTCTTAAGATAATTAATATAAATTCAAGTAAAAGTCAATAAATTCAAGACTCTTGACAAGACACGATTAAAACAACATACAATTTTGTGCAGAATACTAATCAGCACTGTTTTGTCCTCTGTGGCACATATTTATTTTACAATTATATATAATTTTATTTATATTTATATAATATAAAATATAAATAAAATTATATAAAATTGTAAAATAAATATGTGCCACAGAGGACAAAACAGTGCTGATTAAAGGATATGTTAACATTTAACTTGACAGAAAAGTCCTTGCCTTTCTTGTTTAATCAGGCTTAAATTGTTTCTATCACACTTTTTCATATTTTAATGTTATTCTGATCATAGCCACCCATCTGTTTCTATCGTTCGGCACAGTTTCAGTGGTTAAATATCCACTTATGGTTTAGTTTATTTATGATGACGTGTATGGTATCATGAGGAGCGATCACGATACCCAGCCGTACACTGAGGTTTTTACAGGACGTTTTGTACACAGACAGAGGAGAATTTATTTTGCCAGCAAGCAACCGTAATATCTTTGAGGTCAGACCTAATTTTAAAGGTTGCTAGTTGACTATACAGTCCAGAAATAATATAATTACAGAAATGAAGTAGATTCTGTCATCATTTACTCACCCTCATGTTGCTGCAAACTAGTATGACTTGCTTTCCTCCACAAAAGGAGAAAGAAAAGGACACTTTTTTTACATGTTGTTACAAGCGCCATGAAGGATGCATCATATAAGTTGAACCATATCAGTAGCATGAATTTGTTTATGCAAGACTGTGCACTGCATGTGTGGACATTAAAAAAAGTAAATGCTATTTGCGCTAAATAGTGTTAGATTATGTTTACAAAAATTAAATCATTATAAATAGCGTCAAGTGCAATTGGAAGCAATATTCTGTTTCTGCTACATTTTCCGAGCAACAGTGGGCCTTTGCTAACAAAATGATACAACTGTTTACTGCTGAGGAGAATATTAAATAGACTAGGCTAAAATGTTGGGTGTGGCAGACATTAAAATTGGCAAGAGTTATAAAGACCAGATTTATAGTGCTTAATTATTCTGCTTGTCTTTTATTCAGCACAACATTGAAAACTGAAAGAACTGTTTTTGCTATTCGACAGCAAAAAATGACAAACTAAAAGACATTTAAAAAAAGTTAACTTTACTGGTAATATGATTGACTCCAGCATTAATTGCTTGAATTGCCACTTTGAAAGTAACTTTAGAACAGTGGTTTTCAACCAGACAAAGTTCCAGAGGTGCCCAAATAAGTATTTAAAAATAGTCTAACCAAACAGTTAAAAATAGTTGAACCTTTTAACAAACAACAAGACCTGAAGTCATATTTTGAGTTTGTGTTATACAAAGGAGGGCTGTGGATTCAGAAAGCTTGAGAACCTCTTCTTGTCACAAATAACTAAATAAATCTCTTTTTTTTTCCATTATATCACAAAACATTATGCAGGAGCACTGGTTTATTAGATTACAGTAAAACAATTTCAAAGGCACTGTGTGACAAAAAAGGGAATAAATTGAAAACTACAGGTCAAGCCAGATGACTTTATCTTTGTTGTTTCAGGAGATGATATGGAGTCACTCCTTTTTCATTTTTTGGATGACTGGCTCTTTAAATTCAGCGCTGATACCTTCTTCATTCCCAGGGTAATGTGCACACTTTGATATTACATTTCCTTTGACCTCATTCTTTTCTGTTTTCCAACAAGCTTGTCTTTTGTTTTGCAGGAAGTGAAGGTTTTGAACATAGACCGAATGCGCTGGAAAATCCGCTCGATTGGGTGAGTTCTGACTGTAAAATACTGATTCTGAAAGTTCTGATTACTGAACGCCTTTTTCCTAAGAATTTTTCATTATACACCCACAGATGCTCAGCCAAAAACACTGAACACTAGCCTTTTGTGTCTGAACACGAATGAACTCCTTGGATGTTGAGCAGGTGTTTTTAGCTGTTTTCACTCCAATTAGGTCACGAATTTGAATGAATCGTTTTCACTGGAAATCATTCTGATGTGTGAAATTTCATCAATGAGTCTCTCACATAAAAAAGAAAGTTACAATGTGTTAAGCTCATTTAATGTGAAGTTTTGTAATCTTGTAAACCACATTTGTCTCACACATGAGTCATCTGGTCTAACACGTTTCAAATATGTTTCCTATGAAACAAAGAAACAAATACTTGGGAGTACACCCACTAATAATATATTTAAAGGGGTCATATGATGCGATTTCAATTTTTTCTTTCTCTTTGGAGTGTTACAAGCTCTTGGTGCATAAAGAAGATCTGTAAAGTTGCAAAGACTAAAGTCTCAAATCCAAAGAGATATTCTTTATAAAAGTTAAGAGTCAACCACACCTACCTAAAACGCCTCGTTTAAACACGCCCCCACATATCTACATCACTATGTGGGAAGATTTGCATAACGCCGCCCAAATGTTCACGCAAAGAAAGA